TTAATGTGTCAGGTTCTGTAGCACTGGCGGCGTTCGTCGATCCCAATGGGAAGTTGTCTTCTACCGACGGCTGTATTGCGAGGATGGCCGTTGTCTCTGACGGGAAGGGCGTAGCTGAAGTTGTGGTGTTGGCTCCTCCGTCAGAGTTGCTGGGGTCCTGCCTTACGGACTACGACTGGCTTAATCGTTGGAACCGGCTCCGCGTCTACCACCCGCCCGGGGAATCCGAGAAGCAAGCGAAGGCTTCTTCTCGCATCGAGCGCTTGCTTGCCCGGGCCATGAAGAACCATCTGCACGACGCGGATCCATCAGCCGCCAATGCGGCCTTGAAGAAAGCATTCGGCAGGAAGCTGATGGAATGGCTGGAGACTGAGAATGCCGGAGACACCGAGGTTGACTGGAGCAAGAAGCTGGAGATCACTGATGTGAGGCCGCTAGATGCAGATGAACAAGAACAAGTCCGGGATCAAGTTCCAGCTAACGAAAATTGAGGATTCGATGCCTTTCGTGAATTGTATTGAGATCGAGGGCCAGGCCGTTCGGGAAAGAAGCGAAGGCTTCTGGCGACGTCCGGGGTTGTACAAACGTCTTGGTGTTGCGGGTATTGCGACTGTAAGTGGCCTGACGTTTACAGGGCTCCTACTACACTTTTTTGGTCCGCACAATAAGCATTGGTTCCCCGTGTTAGCACCGAGAATAGCTACCGACAGTTCCTCTCCATCGGACACCACGGCCTACAGCTCCTCTCCAACCGACGCGAGGACCCACAACTCTACTCCATCCGGCACTGCCACCCCAGGCAACACGGCCACCAGCTCTTCTTCGTTGCTCACGACGCGATTCCTATCCACGACGCAACTACCGTCCTCGGCGCTCCACCCGTATGAGGCCGAGGCCTTGAAGTACCAGCGAGCCCTGGCGTACGATTGTTTAGCCGTGTCCGAGTACGACTTGGTCAACCAGTGCCATCCGAATCCCGAAAAGCGCCCCGAGCCAAACATCGATGACATCACGACACTACTTTCTGGATACGAGTTGGCGACGCTACGAGTACCCCCCGGGACTTGCAACGATGCGTTTCACCGGATGAAGCCCCAATCGATGGTGAAAGCAGCGCCGGGCGGTTGGAAGACGTTAGACTGGTCCCAGGTCGGCGGCGGCAACATAGTTTGCACTGACGAGAATGGTCAAGACGTGACTTGTCATTATTTCGGCGAACCGTTCAAGTACGATTTGCCTACTGTCTGGGATGCGGTCAACTACTACGTGAAGCCCTACCAGTGCCTGTTTACCGACAACGGAGACACAGGTGACCGTCTCGAATACAGGGGGGGGGCGAGCAAGGGGTGTCGCGAAGTGGGTAGGTGGAGACTTATACGGGTTCAGCGATACTGGTGTTGTATCTGTGGGGCACCTTGTATTACATTTGCGGGAGGGTCCTGTTGTCAAACACAATGCAGTAGAACAAACCATTCCCACTAGCTATTGTGACAGCGACGGTCCGACATGTCGGACAAACCTGTCGGAACATTGTCAGTGCGAGATCATAGAGCTGAGTACTGAGGCCGCCACTCCATCCGGCACGAACATTCGCTGGGGGACGGTTAGGGACTATTTCACCAACCAGACTGATTTGGTTAAGTACTATACGTTATTCCAAAGGAAAGAATACAAATTGACAAACTGCCACGTGAAGTGCTGGAGAGACTCTGTTCCCAAAGAACACCGTGAAGAGACTATTAGTTATTTCGCCAGCAACTTCGGGCAAAAGCTTTGACCTCATCCGTGTGCATCCGCATCCACTTCTGTGTTCTAAACCGCGAGGTGTACTCTTTCGAAAAGCTAAGGTGTACTCTTAGGGCGCTCGGACTTGTCCTGGTGCGTCCTGGTGGGTGCGGCCGGCTAACCCCGTCGTGTACTCTTTTCGAGTTGAAGATTTTTATTTGATGCCGACATCCCACACTCCAGGGATCGAATCGCGCTGCCGGAAGCTCACTCAATCTAAACGTAATTGGGACGCGAGAGTTGTCAAATACTTTGAGACCAAGTGAGACCCTTACGTGCGAGTACAACAACTACGTTGTTGATGCCCTGTTTGCTCAGACAGTAAAGAACAACTCGCCACTCTCCAGTCCTCTTGGGCTACATACGCAGCCCACTCACTCTTGCTCCGCTGATCTGTGCTCCAATGTCCCCGAAGAGATTCAAATTACGGCCCGCTATGCGAAACGGCCTCAACTAAAAATCCTGCTCTGCCAGATCCTCCTATCCAATTGCCGAAGAACACCGTCGGGATGCTATTGCTTGGTTCGACTGTGAAGTTGTGGTGTTGGCCACTCCGTCAGAGTTGCTGGGGTCCTGCCTTACTGGCTACGGCTTACATTTGCGGGAAGCTTTAGTGCGTCCTTTTTATGTCTTGATCTCATTACTCACCCGTGTGCGTTCTAACCCGTAAGGTGTACTCTTTTCTGTCCCGGGAGGGGGCGCTTCAAATCGACCGTCCGCCTGTTGGCTTCTTCGCTATCATAAACGTGTGATTTGAGTATAAAACAACCGTTCAGTTTCGATCTGTTCTACTGGCTTACCGCCATGGTCAACGTAGTCCAACAAGTTGTGCTGGTCACGAAGCAGCTCATCAAGAATGCACCAGCATTCCTCTCCAAAGATTCTGGTCAGATCCCCAAAGGTCAATGACGCGCAATTCGCATCCAAGGGAATGACCTGCGACTGTGACACTCGTTGTATCACCCAATAATGACATCGAGCCCAGGGTAATCCTAACTCTCG